GTCCCTGCCTGGGCCCCACCCCAGCGGGAGCCAATGAGGGTGCGCCTGCCCTTGGCGCTCCAAATAAGGAATCAGAAAACAGGCTTGGACCTGGGCCTTGCATTCCATCATTGGAGCTGCACGAACTTCTTGCACTCCAAGCCCGGGCTTGATTCTCTATTAGACTTGCCCCGTTTTAATGGCCAACGCTCCCCCCCCAGCCCCCCGCTCCCCCCACGTCTTGGATTCATCAGGCTCCCTGCTTCTTCTCCAGTTGGGGGATGAGCGGAGGGTGGGGGAGGCAGGCCTCGGGCGCAGGGCACACAGCTCCCTTTGTGACTGTGGCTGAGTCACATGGGCAATGCCATCCCCCTGGGCCCTGGGGCGGGTGTGATGGGAGATGGCGTTATTGTGGGGCTGTGGCTGCCCCCACGCCTGTGGCCAGGACTCTTTCCCACGGGAATGAACGAATGGGAAGGTGGCTGGGAGCGCTGGTTGAAAAGCAAGTGGTCTGGGTTCAAATGCTGACTCTGCTGATGACGTGCTGCGAAGCCTTGGGAAGGTTCTCTCTCTGGGCCTCAGTTTCCACCTCTGTGAAATGGGACCGATCGTGACTGTTTTGTAGAAGAGATCCTGACGTGAAAGGGCTTGTTAGCTCGGAGTGCTGGCCTTGGGGGCTTTTGCGTTGACATTATGATAATCATCATGCCGTTGGCTCAGTATTTGTTGAGCATCTACTATGTGCCGGGCGTGGCGCTCAATGGTTTACAAGGCCGCTCTGCTCGCAAGGAGAGAACGTGGACTTGAGCTGCTCTTGTCCAATAAAAACTCACCTCCCAGCAGGCAGTGGTTGGCTGTGACCCTCCCATAGGGGGCACAGCTCCGCACTGTCTGCCAGGCTGGCTCACACCGCCCTGAACGGAGGCTCAGAGACAGAGGAGGAGAGGCCTCCAGGAACAGAGCGGAGTCCTCCACTTGTCCAGGCCTCGGGCACAGCGGGCACCATGGATCTGTTTTCTCGCCCTGGCCTGGGGCCCACACATGCTCTGAACCGTGAAACCCTCACAGACACATCAGGTGCTCACTCGTGCCTGGGCCGCGAGGTTTATCAGATTTACGGACGTGGCCTTGTTTACTATTCCTGGTGGCGCTGCTACGGTCTGCAGTTGAGTCACCAGCTGGCAGAGCTGGGAGTGGAAGCCACTTGGCCTGAGTCCAGAGTTTGGGCTTCCAACTTCTCAGCGGCAGCGCGGCCCCCTCTCCTCTGTGCTTTAAAACGAAGGCCTTTCTGCCCGGCCGGCGTGGCTCGGTGGTTGAGTGTTGACCTGAGAACCAGGAGGTAGCGGTTTGAGTCCCGGTCAGGCCGTATGCCCGGGTTGCGGGCTTGATCCCCAGTGTGGGGTGTACAGGAGGCAGCCGGTCCATGATTCTCTCTCATCATTGTGTTTCTATCTCTCTCTCCCTCTCCATTTCTCTCTGAAATATATTATATATATATATCTTGCGAGCAGAGTGGCCTTGTAAACCATTGAGCGCCACGCCCGGCACATAATAGATGCTCAATAAAATCAAATGAAGGCCTTTCTGCACTCCCCACCCTGTCTCTGGCCACTGTCCCCTCCTCCAGTAATGCTCACGACCTTCTCTCGTCCTGGGGGACCCCAGCCCTTCACCCTGAGCACCAGCAATGTGTATCCAGCTCCTGTTGACAGGCTTCCCCACATGTCACAGGTGCACCCCCATTCCACTGAGCCCGAGGGCAGCCTCTTCTCTGCGCCCCATCTTGAGCCCCCCATTATTCAGGGCGGTTTCTGGCATCTTTTCCTCTCACCTGCGCGTGGGAGGTGGGGTCCTCGCCCTGCTCTGGCTTTCTGGACCCAAGCTTAGCCCCCCGCTCCTCCCTCTGCTTCCATATTCTCCAGCGGCCCGGCCGGACCCTCCACCGTCCCAGCCCACCATCGCTGGAGTCCAGACCAGGGCGCCTCCTGTTCTATCCCATGCCGGGTCCCCTGTGCATCTGGTTCAAACACACACTCACTCAGCAGGCCTGGGGCCCACCCGGGAACCGGAGTTTCCAACACGTTCTCGGGCCACGCTGAGGGTCTGCGGGCCACGTTTGCGTGCTGATCACACCCCTCCCGACCAAAGACCTTCCCTGGTTTCCCATTGCCTTGGATGAAACCCATTCCAAGCAAACTCCACGCTTCCAGCATCTCCCAGAATCTGCCCCTACTCCCCTAACCAGATCCCACCTCCTTCCAAGACGGGCTCCCGTGACCCAGTCCCCTCTCCACCTCTGCTGATGCTGTTCCCTACACCTGGAATGCCCTTCCAGCTGGTCTCTGTTTAGCAAAACCCCTCCTTCAAGACCCAGCCGGGGCTCTGGGGCCAACTGGCTTGGTTCAAACCCTGGCACCTTCCCTGAAAGGTTACACCCTCTCTGTGCCTGTCCCTCTTCTGTGAGGTGGGGACAGTGACTGTTGTGATACATGTGAAGAACCTAGGAGGACCTGGCACCTAGTAGGTGCTCCCAGCTACACGCCAGCTGTGTGGCCTGGGCTGCGTCACCTGGTTTCTAACGTACCAGTGGGACCCCAGCCACAGAGCTGGGAGGGTGAAATTAGGATGACACACGTCAAGCAGTGCCTTACACAGTGAACCCTACACAGCACCCTACTAAGTGAACCGCTTAGTAGACTAGTGATGGGCAGTGTTGTGATTAATGATCATTTATGTGGATTCTGTCCTTTGACTCCCAGAGCCTTCTGGGAGCTCCATGGTGCCAATAACTGACTGGTGTCACCCCGATGTGAGTCATCCTTGGAGCTGGGGCCTGCTCCCCACCTTCGCCCTGCACATAGTAGGTCTCTGAGAAGCCCGATGGTGAAAGGGCAGCCAGAGCTTGGCAAGCCAACTCCTGCCCTGGCCAGGCTGCCTCGCAGGCCTTTCCTAGGTGGCAACTGGCTCCAGGTCTCTGTGGCCCTGGCTTGGGCACCCAGAGAGTGGCACCTCCAGCTCTCCACCTGCGCCCAGCTGGCCAGCACCCTCTGGGGGTGTGGTTGGGTCATTGCTGCCCTGCTGGCCCGGATCGCAGGGCACAGCTGATGCTGCCCCACCTAGCCCGTGGCTCAGCCCTGAAGGACAGACCTGGGGGAAGCAGAGGCTTAGAGGGGGCGACTTGCTTGGGGACACGGCATGTAGGGGACTCCCCATCTCTTCCTGGATAACTTGCTTTTGCTCTCTGTTCCCGGCCCACACTGGGGGCTCTGGCCTTGATAATGAGGGAGTGCCCACTGCAGCCCTGGGAGGGAGGGCAGGCCGGGTGCCCACCGCGCCTGCCACCGGGGCATCAGCAATAGTCTGGACAGCAGTGATGACGCCTGGAGAGCACAGCGTTGCCTCCTGGAAGCTCTGGGTGGGGCCTCGCTGTACTCCTCACTGGCAGCTTGATGGGGTGTTTCCTCGCGGCAGAATCACCCCCTCCTCCCCCCCCCCCCGTTGGGTGAAAGAAGGTTTTTCAGGTAGGGGGTGTGGAGAAACCAGTGGACCATTGTGGGGGTCTCCTTTTTGAAAAAAAGGATAATGCTTGCGGGGGGGGCAAAAAAAATGCCGGAAGCCAGGGGGGGGGGAGCCTT